CCAGGCTCGTCTCAAACTCCTGACTTCAGGTGATCCTCCCGCCTCAGCCTCCCAAAGTGCTGGGATTACAGGTGTGAGCCATGGCACCTGGCCCAGTTTTGGTAATTTTTTTCTAAAGGAATGTGTCCATTTTACTTAAGTTGTCACGTATATTAGCATAAAGTTGTTCATACTATTTCTTTAATATCCTTTTAAGATCTTTAGGCTCGCAGCCATAAAAAAGGATCAGTTTGTGTCCTTTGTAGGGACATGGATGCAGCTGGAAACCATCATTCTCAGCAAACTATCGCAAGAACAGAAAACCAAACACCACATGTTCTCACTCATAGGTGGGAATTGAACAATGAGATCACTTGGACTCGGGAAGGGGAACATCACACACTGGGGCCTATTATGGGGAGCGGGGAGCAGGAAGGGATGGCATTGGGAGTTATACCTGATGTAAATGATGAGTTGATGGATGCTGACGAGTTGATGGGTGCAGCACACCAACATGGCACAGGTATACATATGTAACAAACCTGCACGTTGTGCACATGTACCCTAGAACTTAAAGTATAACAATAATAAATAAATAAATAAATAAATAAATAAATAAATAAAGTTCATCTACAAAAATCCAACAGCTAACATTACCCTTAATAATAAAAGACCAGGCCGCGCGCGGTGGCTCACGCCTGTAATCCCAGCACTTTGGGAGGCCGAGGCGGGCGGATCACAAGGTCAGGAGATCGAGACCACCATGACCAACATGGTGAAACCCTGTCTCTACTAAAAATACAAAAAATTAGCCAGGCGCAGTGGCAGGCGCCTGCAGTCCCAGCTACTCAGGAGGCTGAGGCAGGAGAATGGCGTGAACCCAGGAGGCAGAGCTTGCAGTGAGCCGAGATCGCGCCACTGCACTCCAGCCCGGGCGACAGAGCAAGACTCCGTCTCAAAAATAAAATAAAATAAAATAATAATAATAATAAAAGACCAGATGCTTTTGGGGGTGATGAAAATAACTTAAATCTTGATTGTGGTGGCAGTTATATGACTATAGATTACAAAAATTCATACTGTACAATTCAAATTAGTGGATTTTATTGTATGTAAATTATATCAATAAAGCTGATTTTTTTTAACTGTCAAAAAAAAAAAAAAAGATCTTTAGGCTCTGTAGTGATATGCTCTTATTCATTCCAAATGTTCATAATTTGTGTCTACTTTCAATTTTTCTTGAGCAGTCAAGCTAGAAGTTTATCAGTTTTTAAAAATAAAGCAACTTGTTTCATTTACCTTTTCTATTGGTTACCTTCCATTATTTACTCTATTTCTAGTTTAAGATGAAAGCTTACATGAATTACTTTAGACTTTTTTCTAATATAAACACTTAAAGCTATAAGCTTTTCTCCAAGCACTGCTTTATCTGTATACCAAAAATTTTGATATATAGAGTTTTCATTTTTATTCAGTTAAAAATATATATATATATATATATATATATTTTTTTTTTTTTTTTTTTTTTTTTTTTTTTTGAATGTTATACACACAGTTAATAACAATAACATACAATAAAATGTTTTTGTGTGTGTGTATATGTAAATAAACAACAAAATCATATATAACACCATACAACACTTATAATAACACACCACAACAACAACGCACTGTGGAGCGCCGTGACGGGCTGGAAGAATAACAATGTCGCGTCATGAGTAATGTAAATATGTCGCTGTGGAAGGCAACAAAATGGGACATCAAATAATTGTTCCACCGTGCAAAGAAAGGGAATGTCACGGGGACGTAAAACAAAATCAACAAAAATAAAATAACAACAACAATGTAATAAACACATAAGCAACACATTGATATACACAAATAAGAAAGCAATGAAGAACAATACAAGAAAATATATATAATAAATAAACAAGGTGTTACATACATGCATATATATATATATACATACATAATGTTATAATAAATTACATATATTAATATTCATTGGAAATAAGTTATAAGAAACCATAATAAATTATAAGAAAAACCAACAATCACTTGTCGGCACACATGTTGGGTAATTTTTCCTAGAGACTGTTTCCTGACTGAACCACCACGGCACAACAAGTGTAATAAATATAATAACCCACCAAAAAAGTAATTCCAAACCTAACACACTTTTCGCTTCTTTTCTTACAAAAAAACACAATGAACACAACAACAAACAAACAACAACAAACAAACAAACAAAACAAAAGTTCATCCTAAAACTAATGGCAGCTTCTTTCAACATCATCCTTTTAACAATGATAATAACAATCGAAACACATGGAAGTTCGCCCTCCCCCACTCTGTGACCCCTGGCGCTGGCTAACCCCACAAAGATGGCCCTGAAAGCTTTTCTTTGCAGAGAGGACATCACGCCGCCGCTCGCCAGCCTGTTTGTAGGAGATCTGAGACCACCATGATCAACATGGTGAGTAACCCTGTCTCATTAAAAAAACACAAAAATTAGCCAGGCGCAGTGGCAGGCGCCGAGCCGTCCCAGCCACTCAGAGGCTGAGGCAGGAGAATGGCGTGAACCCAGGAGGCAGAGCTTGCGAGCCGCAGACGCGCCACCGCACTGCAGCCCGGCGACACAGAGCCAAGACTCAACTTCAAAAAATAAAATAAAATAAAATAATAATAATAATAAAAGACCAGATGCTTTTGGGGTGAGATGAAAATAACTTAAATCTTGATTGTGGTGGCAGTTATATGACTATAGATCACAAAAATCCACACCGTACAATCCGTGCTGACTTAGCAATTGAAAAGAAAGGTTTAAACACGTACAATGAACTTGTAATGGTGGTATGGAAATGCAACAACACACGCCCCAACATAACACCAACGCCAAGGCAACACAAACGGCTTCAAAGCACCCCGCCATCCGTACACCCCTGCACCACATATAAGAGCTCTCATCTTTATCCAGTTAAAAACGCTACACATACACATATTTTTTTTTTTTTTTTTTTTTTTTTTTTTGAGACGGAGTCTCGCTCTATCTCCCAGGCTGGAGTGCAGTGGCCGGATCTCAGCTCACTGCAAGCTCCACCTCCCGGGTTTACGCCATTCTCCTGCCTCAGCCTCCCGAGTAGCTGGGACTATAGGCGTCCGCCACCTCGCCCGGCTAGTTTTTTGTATTTTTTAGTAGAGACGGGGTTTCACCGTGTTAGCCAGGATGGTCTGGATCTCCCGACCTCGTGATCCGCCCGTCTCGGCCTCCCAAAGTGCTGGGATTACAGGCTTGAGCCACCACGCCCGGCCGTCAGTTAAAAATATTTTATAACATTCTTTGTGATTTCTTAAATTCATGAATTCTTTGGAAGTATATGATCTAATTTCCACATATTTACGGAGCTTCCAGGTATCTTCCTCTTAATGAATTTAACTTCATTGTGATGTGAGGATGCACTTTGATACTACTCCTTTTAAATCTAGTGACACTGGTTTTATGGCTTGTCTTGGCAAATGTTCCATGCAAACTTGAAAATAATATGTAGTTTGTCAGTTTCTGGGTCAAGTCTGATCAGAGTTATGATGATTAATTTTATGTATAACAGCCTGGCTGGGTCACAGTGCCCAGATATTTGGTCAAATGTTAGTCTGGATGCTTCTGTGGGAAACATCACTTTTGTTTTCTATGAAATTAACATTTGAATCAGTGGACTTTGAATTAAGCAGATCACCCTTCATAACGTGAGTAGGCTGATGTATCCAGTTAGCTGAAGGCCTTAATAGAACAAAGACTAGCCTCTTCCAAGCAAGAAAGAGTTTTGCCAGGAGACTGCCTGTGGACCTGAAAGACAACTCTTCCCTGAGTCTCCAGCCTGCCAGCCTACCCTACAGCTTTTGGATTTGCCAAGCCCCTACAGTCACGAGTCAATTCCTTAAATGTTGATAGATGATTGATTGATTGATAGATAGATAGATAGATAGATAGATAGATAGATAGATAGATAGCTAGATAGACAGACAGACAGACAGATAGATAGATAGATAGATAGATAGATAGATAGATAGATAGATAGATAGATAGATAGATAGATAGATCCTGTTGGTTCTGTTTCTCTGGAGAACTCTAATATAAGCATTGTTCCCTTTTTCTGTATAATTGACAATTTTTGTCTGCTTGTTTTACCAGTCACTAAAGGAAAAGTGTTTATCTTCAACTATAATTGTAGATAGCCTCTTTCTGTTTCAACTTTTTGGCTTTATTAATTTTAAAACTCTATCATACCCATTTAGGATTGCTACGTTCCTTGATTCCTTTACCATTCTGAAATATCCTTCTTAATTCCTAGTAAAAGTTCTATTTCAAATTATGTTTTTTCTTGCTGTTAATATAGCCATTCCAACTTTCTTTTCACTAGTCTTTGACTAGTGTTTTATCATTTTCTATCCTTTTACTTTTGCTTTATAGGAATATTTATGTTTAACCTAGTTTTCTTATAAACAAAATAGCTTTAGCTATTTTTATCCAGTCCAACAGTCTCTGCCTTTTAATTGGACTGTTTAGACCACTTATGTTTAATTTGATTATTGACAGGTTTTGGTTTAAATATATCATCTAACTATTACTTTTCTATATATTATATAGATATTTTGTTCCTTTTTTTCCCACCCTCTTTTAGGTTTATTAAGTTTTGGGATTTTTTTTAACCTCCACTCTTGGATTATTAGCTATACCTCCTAGTTTTACTGTTTTAATGGTTCTTCTAAGGTTTCAATATATATCCTTAACTACCCTAGTCTACCTTCATAAAATATTATGTTACTTCAGTTATAATGTGAACCTTAGAACAACAGCCTTCCATTTTCCCTTCCTTTCGTTTGTGCCATTGTCATCATGATTTCTATATATGCTTCAAATCCAACAATGCATTATTATTATTACTACTATTACTACTATTTTAAATATTCAATTGTCTTCTAGAGACAATTGAAAAATAAGAAAAATCTTTTGCTTTAGCCCATATTTACCATTTCCAATATTCTTTATTGCTCTGTATATGTCCAGGTTTCTATCTGGTATCATTTCTCTTTTTGTAATTTTGAAAGTTCAGGTCTACAGGCAACAAATTCTCTCAGTTTCCATTTGCCTGAAAAAGTCTATTTCATCTTCATTTCTAAACAATATTTTTGCTAGATAAAGAATGGTAGATTGATGCTTTTTTTCTCTCTCTCAGCAGTTTAAATATTATTTCATTATCTCCAGCTTGATGAGAAGTCTGTGAAAGCAGAAGAAAATTATATTAATTATAACAAACCTTACTGCAGCCCCAGCTGAAACCCTCATTGCAGCGTTTTGAGACTCCCTGAGCCAGAGGGCCTAGCTAAACTGCACCTAGTTCCTGACCAAATGGAAACAGTGAGATAATAAATGTTAAATCAAACCCACTAAGTTTAGGGATAATTTGTTTTGCCACAATAGATATCTAATTCAGAGAATATCCTAAAAACTTCCACAAAAACAAAAATTAGTTACATGCAGAATGCCAGGAGGAAAGCATTAGACTTCTCTATAGATGTTCTTAAAATTGTGAAAGAAAATTAATTTCAATATACAATTTGGACCAAATTATTGATCAAACATCAGAGTAAAACACATTATCAGGCATGTAGGGACTGGAACAAATGATCTCCCATGTATTATTTTTCAGGAAGCTACTGAAGGATGTATTTCACCAAAATAAGAACATAGGCTGGACATGCTGGCTCATGCCTGTAATCCCAATACTTCAGGAGGCCGAGGTGGGCAGATGGCCTGAGCTCAGGAGTTTGAGATCAGCCTGAGCAACATAGTGAGACCCCATATCTACAAAAAATACAAAAATTAGCTGGGTGTGATGGCACGAGCATGTAGTCCCAGTTACTCAGGAGGCTGAGGTGGGAGAATCACTTGAGCCCGGGAGGTTGAGGCTGTAGTGAGTTCACGCCACTACACTCCAGCCTGAGTAACAGAGTGAGATCTTGTCTCAAATAAATAAATAAATAGAAAGAAAACAAATCAGATGAGGGGAAGACCTGGGATTCAGGAAAAAGTGAATCCAAACCAACAGAATTCTAGGAATAAAAGTAAAGGGAGGCCAGGCGTGGTGGCTCACGTCTGTAATACCAGCACTTTGGGAGGCTCAGGTGGGCGAGTTACTTGAGGTCAGAAGTTCGAGGCCAGCCTGGCCAACATGGTGAAACCTTTTCTCTACTAAAAATATAAAAATTAGCCAGGCGTGGTGGCATGTACCTGTAATCTCAGCTACTTGGGAGACTGAGGTGGGAGAATTGCTTGAACCCGGGAGTCGGAGGTTGCAATGAGCTGAGATCGTGCCACTGCACTCTAGCCTGGGCAACAGAGTGGGAGTCTGTCTCAAAACAATAAATAAAACAAAATTATTAAAAAGTAAAGGGAAAATGCAAAATGATAACTAAGCAGTAGCCACAACAGCCATCAACTTTGGAATAGGAAAGCTACAAAAGTATATGCCAAAACAGAAGTTAATACCCAAACATCCATCTCAAAAATTTGAAAATAGTTGCCTCTGGGTGACAAGAGCTAGGTAAGGAAGGGAGATGGTGGTGAGCAGGGGCTTCCTATCTCACCTACCTATAGGGAAATTTTTGGGTTTTTTTTTTTTTTTTTTTTTTTTGAGACAGAGTCTCACTCTGTAGCCCAGACTGGAGTGCAGTGGCGCGATCTCGGCTCACTGCAACCTCTGTCTCCCGGGTCAGGCAATTCTTCTGCCTCAGCCTCCTGAGTAACTGGGATTACAGGAATGCGCCACCATGCCCAGCTAATTTTTGTATTTTTAGTAGAGATGGGGTTTCACCATGTTGGCCACGCTGGTCTTGAACTCCTGACCTTGTGATCCACCCACCTCGGCCTCCCAAAGTGCTGGAATTACAGGCGTGAGCCACCGTGCTCGGCCCCTATGGGGAAATTCTATCTCAATTCCAACCAGGTCTTCCCTATACTCACTATTTCTCCAAAAATAATTTATTTCCTGGATCACAGAACTGATGCGTTCATGAAGAGCTCTAACTTTATGCAGAATTAGTCCTAAGAATTCAAACATTGTTCTGCCTTATTTTACATTCACTTTATTCTCAGACAAGCATATGCCTAAGGGCACTGTTTCTTCATTGCTGTAGAATATTCCAGCAACTGACACACACTGCACCAATCATGATAACCAAGAGAAATGGAATATGATGATCGGCCAGACCTGGAGACCCTAAGAAGTGAAAAGAACCTCCATAGCCACTGGAACTTATGGAGCCATGAGTGTGCAATTTGACTAAATTGTGCTGACACTCCAAGCAAGCCACACAAGCCTGATGCATTACCTGTCATCACGGGTCACTCTCCCCTTCCTGAGAGTGGTGTAAGAACTATTCATTATAGTCCTGAGGGGAAAAAGAAACTGTCCTTAAATGGGTGGAGAGTACATTTTGGGAGGGACTATAACTGGGTTATTCAAAACTAGAGTCTTTGGAATCCTCTATTCTTCTTTTTCTTGAGACAGGGTCTCACTTTGTCACCCAGGCTGGAGTGCAGTGGCAAGATCTCGGCTCACAGCAGCCTTGACCTCCCGGGCTCAAGCAATTCTCCCACTTCAGTCTCCTTAGTAGCTAGGACTACAGGTGTGTGCCACCACACTAGGCTAGTTTTTTTTTTTTTTTAACTTTTAGTAGAGACAGGGTGTTTGTTGCCCAGGCTGGTCTCAAACTCTGGGGCTCAAGTGATCCTACCACCTCAGCCTCCCAAAGTTTTGGGATTATAGGCATGAGCCCCCATGCCAGGCCAGAATCCTCTATTGTAACCTAAACAATGAGCATGAAATAGCATGAGGGGCTTACAGGACTGACAGCCATCACAGCTGAATGCAGGAATTAGGTACCCTGGGGTAGCTTAAACCTCCACTCCCCTCTGTTGCGCTGGTCTTTGCCAGAGGTGGGCCCCCTGGTAAATGCAGAGGACATTCGTTGCCATCGGCTGCACATTTAGAGAAATTACTTCCCTCCAAATATTCATGGTCTGGTTGAAATAGTATTTTTAGGTGCCTGCCTCCCAAAAAAAGAGGCAAAATGATCATGTCCTATCTATCGGTACACTGGTACAGCCAGGAAGTCAGAAAATGAACACAATTGGCCTGTGGGTTGCTTCCTTTGAAGACTAAAGGAACGGCTGAAGAATCAATCCAATGGTGGTATTCTGGCCCTAGCTTTCTGCTGGGACCACTGCCGTGGCTCCTGCTTCCTGGTTCTCTAGGAAATAACTTCTTGCCTACTTTGGAGCATGGTTCTTAAGGTTCCCATTGGGTCTGTAATCCTCCAGAATCTTTCCAATACATTTCTTTGCTTAAGTTGGGTTCTACTTCTTGGAACTTAAGAACTCTAACTAATACAGTGGTTAACTGTGGACTGTAGTAAATTGAATACGCCTGTTCCTGTTCTGTCAATGCTATGAGTAATTTTGTTTCTATATTGAAAAATTATCATAAGTAATTCTCAGTTGTCATGAGCTCTCTTAGGAATCAGGCTAATACAGTCTTCTGTTTCCCTGTTAACACCACTAACAATAATATGTTGATGTGTCTACTCCAGCTCGATGCCATCAAGTAGCGCAATGGAATTTAAACCAATGGCCTAAACTAGAGCCAAATATTATAATTACCCATTACGTTGGTAATATATTGATTAGGGAGAATAGGAACATGGAAGACATGGTATGGGTTATTTAATAAAACAAACCAAGGAGTAGTATAAGTTATAAGCACAGGAAACAATTAACAAGGGACAATACAACATAAAACCCAAGTTATTCAAAATGGTGACTAATTTTGAATAATATCCTATATTTCTTCTAGTGTTTCCCTGCCCCTACTTTTTTTCTTTCTTTTTTTTTTTTTTTTTTTTTTTGAGATGGCGTCTTGCTCTGTCGCCCAGGCTGGAGTGCAGTGGCGCAATCTCAGCTCACTGCAACCTCTGCCTCCCGGGTTCAGGCGATTCTGCCTCAGCCTCCCGAGTAGCTGGAACTACAGGCACACACCACCACACCTGGATAATTTTTGTGTTATTTTTAGTAGGGATGGGGTTTCGCCGTGTTAGCCAAGATGGTCTTGATCTCCTGACCTTGTGATCCGCCCACCTTGGGCTCCCAAAGTGCTGGGATTACAGGCATGAGGCAGCAGCCTGGTCCCCTACTTCTTCTGACACTGGCTGCTGTTAAAATCTGGAGTCGCAGTCCTACTTCACCTGGATCGACAAGGTTGCTAAATGCACGAACTCAACACTGATCCTTTTCGTGGAAAAATGACACTAGCTACAATATGTCTGCTATCTCCTGTGGGGCCATCTGGGGCAAATTATTGTCCACCCCTTTTCCCACCATGCTTGGGTTGGGCTAAATGTGAGGACCAATATGGACTCAAGTTATTATAACATCTGGTTATATAATAGGACATAGTCAATGGGCAAGAGCTGCATCAATATTCAATGGTGGAAGGGACTGAGCCATTCTGTTTTGGTAACTTGCAACTCACTTTTTCTGAAAATAAAGTGTCAGTGATAATTGGGATATATAAATCTCAAGTCAACCTCCCGCTGACTGTTCCATGGATTGTTAAGAATTACACTGTGGTGAGCTAATAAATACTAAAGCCTAAAGCAAATGTTTCTGTGAATAACAGGGAAATATTTAGTAAGTGTCCACTGGTCTCCTGAGTGGAGGAGAAAGGATTTCGCTTGATGATTACCCCACTCCCCACTCCCAGAAGCACTGCAGCCCCACTTGAGGCAGGTGCCCTCCACACACACTTCACTGCTTCCCAGGGATCCCCTGCACAGAGAAAATTGATTCTCAGATATGTTCTGGGTTACTCAGTAAATGGGCTATGAAAGTCGTTAAATTAATTTCTCATATTTGTTACATTTACACACAAAAATATCAACAGAGCAAACAAAACTTAAGATTCTAAGAAGGCTGGGGAGTTGAGCCACTAGTGTGTGCGTGCTCTGTTTCCTCTTCCTGTGTACAGATTAGGATGTGACAGAGTCTTAATTTAAAGTTTGAAACTATAATCCTCATTTCCACAAGAATTTGGAGTAGTAAGGAACCTGAGCTCAGCAAAGAAGGTTGCAGACGAGCCTCCAGTCTTTGGTGAGCCTCTTGTCTTCCTGTGGACTTCACCACCTCACCTGCCTTTGCTATCCTGGGTTACCATGTTTAGACTCCACTCTAGCTCAGCACCCTCTGGTCTTGGGTAGGTATCAAAAATTAAATCTTTTTGTCTAGCCTCGGTTTCACACCTCCTTCCTTATATCTTTCCTATAACATCCAATAAGAGGATATCCTGCTTTCCTCCCTAGGCTAGATCGACTTTCCATGGGCACCACCATGTCTAAATGTCAGCAGGGCACTTCCAGCCTTCCTCAGTTTGTAACAGACCATTATAGTGCATGGTCTTTCAAATCTGCAATAGGTACACCAGGGGTGACCCCAAATTTTAATTTCCCCTTTGTGGATCCTGGAACTATGATATCCTGAAACATTTAAAGGAGGATTGTTTCATGTATACATGGAAAGATTAGGTTCTGACACAAGTTGCCAAGAATGTAACCAAAACCTCACTAAAGATGTTGAGAGAACCACTGGGAAGTCCTGTCAATTTCCTGTTCAAGTGTGACCCACTAAGACCATACCCTGTCCCCGTCTCACAACAGCTAAAGACCAAATAATTGACTTCCTCTTCCTCTGTCCCTAGAGTCACCTAAAATCGCCTTGAGTAGAGTTCCAACAAGTGTCCTGGTGTTCTACTTTCAAAGATGCCAACCGGAGATGCCCAGAGCTTTGCTATAAAGTGCCTCTTAATCTCATATAAAACTCAGCCTCACCAAGACTCAAGTCACATTCCGAGTGTCCTGGTGTGCTAGGGCACTTGCAGAGAATCTGCTGGTCTTGATTCACTGGTGGAGACAATCGGTGCCCAGATTAGAAACATGCCCTACCTGGGGTTTTAGAAAGCGGGCTGGCAGTCATCTTTCCTCACACCTATCAGGCAGATGGTACCTGCCATGGTGTATTGTAAAGTTTTAAAAAATAAAAAAATTAGAACAATTAGAAAAATTCAGCCTCAAAGCATTAGCACTGCAATCCTCAAGCCATTAAGAAGGCACACCCTAGAAATAATTAGAATATTTTTCCGTCTAGAAAAGGCAGAATATGGCCGGGAATTGTGGTTCATACCTGTAATCCCAGTATTTTGGGAGGCCGAGGCAGGTGGATCACTTGAGGTCAGGAGTTCGAGACCAGCCTGATTAACATGGTGAAGCCCCATCTCCACTAAAGATACAAAATTCACTGAGCATGGTGGTGCACACTTGTAATCCCAGCTACTTGGGAGGCTGAGGCAGGAGAATTGCTTGAATCCAGGAGGCGGAGGTTGTAGGGAGCTGAGATCATGCCATTGCACTCCAACCTGGGCAACAAGAGTGAAACTCCGCCTAAAGAAAATAAAAGAAAGAAAAGGCAGAATATTTGAATATTTTAGAACGACTGAAAATAAGTTAAGTCTCTTCTCAGATAACTCTAGACTGCCGAAGGCCAGGTGAGAAAGGAATTGTTTGTATTTCAAAAAAAAATATCTTAGTCGACTAAGAAGCATTAAGAAGATACATTCTATATACATAAAGAGAAACTAGAGAAAGAGGAAAATTAAAGATTTGGGGACTAGGTTATGATAAAATCAACTTAGAGAATCACTTGGATTTATGCATTGTAAACTTTGGCATAATATAATAATATGTTGGTAGGAAAATGTTATATATTATAAAAGGAAGCTCAAAGAAGAGAGAGAATAAATTTTGAAGGCTTTAATATCATTACTATTGACTAAATTAAATTGTAATGAAATACATGAAGCTATGTGGGTTCTAATATTCCCAGAAATTGAATAGTAGAAGACAGAATTGGGTGCCATCCAGAACTTGTGCATATGAATTTTCTGCGTGTAATGTTGCACCTGGTCACTACGTAATGATCAGATAGTGGCTAGATGAGATTTTCATACAGAACTGGGGAAATTCGTTTGCTTGATTTTCCCTTCACCCACGTTTCATAAGGTAGACTCAAAACAGTTTTCTACCATACTCAAAGGTTTATTATCACAAAAGAATAAAACCTCTTGGCTGAAAACTGCCACCTTCTAGGAAAACTGCCAGCTAGTTATACTGACAACCTCCCAGAACTGAAAACAAATTAATCATACATGATTAATATAAAACAAAGTCTCACAGAATGAGCTATGAGGCGTGACTCTACAAGAAAATAATTTGATTACACATCTTAGTGGCATACCGTATAAGGATAAAAATAACTGCAAAGAAATCTTAAATTTTATTTAATAATTTTATCAGATAAATTAGTAATTAATTTGTTTGAAATCAAGCTTTCAAGTATAAGGAAAGAGAAGGAAAATAATAAAATTGAAATGCTTTAATTGGGAATCATACTGTCAGAACTGAATTAGAAATATCAATAGAAACCTATGCTTTTTAAAAGAAAAAAAAGAGTATATGTTTTTCCAATTCTGTCAGTTAAAACGAACTAGTAACAAGGGCTTAAGAGAATGAACCTACTATGTGCACTTAATGCTGAGATTATGGCATCTTTCCAGGATACCCTGGAGAAATGACTGACTCCAGGAGCCATTATGAGCCTGAGGCAACTTGCTGTATGTACCAAGAGGCAAGAAATAATTCAGATCAATGGGACTGTGTCAAAAGAACACAACAGGGCCCCCCACTGGCCAAAGTGTGTCAATTTGAGCAGCAAAAATAATTATTGCAGTTGATTAAATCACATTCAATCTATAAGAGGCCAAGAGTCCCTAATGATACGCACAAGAAAATTTTGCTTAAAATTGAGTAAAGACCGTGAATTGAATAGCGTGTATTATTTTTGGATCCTTTATTCAAACATCCTATTATTTTGACACATTTATCAGTGAAAAATACAGAATTTAGTAAATACTAAATACAAAGTTAGAAAGCATTTTCTGAGGCCGGGCGTGGATCTCATGCCTGTAATCTCAGCACTTTGGGAGGCCAAAGTGGGAGGAAAGCTTGAGCACAGGGATGTGGAGGCTGTAGTGAACTGTGATCGTGCACTCCACTCCAGCCTGGGAGACAGAGTGTGAGACACTGTCTCAAAAAACAAACAAAACAAAACAAAACAAAAACAAGCAAGCAAACACAGTCTGGCTTGAGGGAGGATGCCAGTATGTGATTATAAATTGGACAAAATCATTCAAGATAGCCGCATTTCAATCAGATCAAATTTCAAATTTTCAAATATCTATAAACATTTTATGTTCTTAAAAATATGAGAAAATTGCAAGATATCATTACATTCAAAGGTTTCCAAAACCAGTTTGAAACATATTTGCATGTCTTAAAACCTTTTGTGAAGTTTAGCTGTATTTAGAGAAGTAAAAATGTATTTGCATATCTCGAGTCAAAATACAAAATCCAAGCGATCAGGGCAAAGTGGAAGCAAGCAACTCCAACCTCCCCGCGTGGAAACAGAGAGTGTGCGCTGGTCACATCCAGGGACCTGCTCCATGCAATCCACAAATTTAGATCTGCTCCTGACCATATTATATTGACCATATAAAAATTAAAGTAGCTTTATATGTACTTTACTGATATAGAAACAAGTCTATATTGCTAAGTATAAAATTCAAATTTCAGAATGTCAATAGTATAATTCCACTGAAGTAAAAAAAAAATATATATATATGTTTTTCAAGTTTGACTCTATAATCTTTGTATGGGAATTTTTAGTAAAGCGTATATATTCATCTACAGCTTAACTTTTTAGTCTTAAAAAAGGCAAAAATGAAATTTCGACCATGAAATGCACGGTTGTAACCAGCAATACCAATCTTGCACGGTTGCAATACTCTTTGCACTCTTTGCACTGTAACCTCTGGAATCCACTGTAACCTCTGTAACCTCTGGAATCCACTGTAACCTCTGGAATCCGCTATAACCGGAGATCGCTTAACCGGGCAGACCCCTGCCAGGACTCGGGCGGCGGTCAAGGGTGCGCAGGCGCAAGCGCCGCCGCCGTCGGTGGGGTTCTGTGCGCGGTTGAGACTGCTGTTGAGTTTCACCGCCTTTTAAGACTGCCTTCCAAAAGACGACGTGATGACTCTAAAGAAAAAGGAAAATTTGTTGCGTACGCAGAAGGGCAGGCTGGGCGCACTCTGAGCGTCTTTCGGGGACCGACGGCCTCGCCCACGTGCTTCCGGGCACCAGAGCGCCGAAACCCCGTGCGCTAGGAAACGCACAAACGCCCCAGCGGGCGAGGCCACTGGCAGCCAGGAGGCGGCGAGGGTGGCTTGTCTTCCAGAGACTGGGGAATCAAGACAGGCAGAGCCACCTCCTTGTCCCCAGCGCAGCAAGTGCAGGAGGCAGGGAGGCCGCAGCGTCCCGCCGTCCCCGGTACCCGTGAAACCCGGTGCGCGCCCAGGGAGCTGGGGCGGCTCAGGCCCAGCGTGCCCAGAAAGCCAACCACGCTGGTCAGGAGGACGCTCTCCCACGATCCGCGATCCTCAGGCTCTGATTAAAGTCCAGTTAAAAGGAGCTATCCGTTCTGGTATCTGTTGTTACTCTTGTGATAAATATGATGTTTGATACGGAAGTATCTTTATAGTCATGCTGCCAATCAAAGAACAAAACACGTAAAGCCTGTGCGCTAAGAACACGAGAGCATTTCGCTCCTCAGGAGGTGCAGTTTCTCTTCCTTTGTTTCATATGTAATTCCAAGGAGAATTCCCAGTTATCAACACATTTTGCTTTGCCTTTGTTTAGGGGATGACATAGGCTCATTGCATTTGATCAGATTAGTGTTAACCCCCCCACTCACGTTTTTACTATATACTCTACCAGTAATACAGCAGGATTTTATATCTTTAACCTCAAAATTCAAGAGCAGAAAAATACTCACATTTTATGTTAGTTTAACGTGAAAACGAGTTACTTCAGCCCTGACAGGATAGTTTTAAACCAGTACTTCCTAACAAATCTGTTTCTTATTCGTATAAGCCCATACACATGGTTTTTAAAATGAGTTTTATAAATAATAATTAGCATTGAGGCCCTGATCTAAGTATTTGAAACTCTGTTACTCTTCACAACAATCCTGAGGTGGGCATATTTTCCTCATTTTGCAGATAAGGAAACAAGCACTGGGATGGTAAGAAACCTAGGCCATCTGGCCCCTAAGAGCCTTTTACCACCATGCTTAAAGCTTTACCCACTTTTGAGATCCAAAATATTACGTAGTGCACACATATTTGGTAACCAAATCAGGATTAAACATTAAACTTCAGGGCCAAGCACAGTGCCCTGTAATCCTAGCATTTTTGGGAAGCTGAGGCGGGCAGATTACTTGACCTCAGGAGTTCAAGACCAGCCTGGACAGCATGGTACAACCCCATCTCTATAAAAAAATACAAAAATTAGTTGGGTGTTGTGGTGTGTGCCTGTGGTCCCAGCTATTCAGGAGGCTGAGGTGGGAGGATCGCTTGAGCCCAGGAGGCAGAGGTTGCAGTGAGCCAAGATCACACCACTGCACTCCAGCCTGGGTGACATAGCGAGACACTGTCTCAAAAAGAAAAAAACAAAAGTAAAGTAAGAACATAATAAGAAATATGTTTGGCACTGTGTTACAGGGGATAAAAAATAAATAGGGAGATAGATCCTGCTTTCAGGGTAAGTGCAATTTGCTGAGTAAAATAAATATTTTAAGATACCTTAAAAAAGAAAACAAAGGCTGTTGTAAATTGGATATTCAATTATTTGGGGTTTATAAATACACAGAATGCCACATTTTCACCAATACCTTATGTTTTGTGTAAAGATTAAAACCAACTTTGAAAATGAATTGTTTATGCGATTATCTTAAAAATAAAGATTATATAATAAGCCACATTATCTTGCATTATGTGACTTATCTAGGGGGTAAAGTCACTCTCATTCTACTAATATTCACAGTACTATTATATAATCATTTCAGAGCCCTGAATTATAATCCCAACTATGTGACAGTTACTGAGTAAATTTTGCAATGTAGATTTATTATAGAATATAAGTGTATTACTTTATTTTTCTCTATTCATTGGCATCCTTTTATATTTAGAGTTTGACACGATTGCACACAACAATCTTTCTACTAAAATATTCCATAGAGTTCGCCAGGGATGGTGGCTCACGCCTTAATCCAAGCACTTTGGGAGGCTGAG